TAACCATCATATCTAATATAGATTGTGAGAGAGACCCTCTACATTATTTGCCATAGTATTAGAAGTGCAAAAGATGCCATGTATTCTATAGCAGTATAATACACATTTATTTCTATGAGTGGAGCCTGTTGTTATATGTATAATTTTTTTCTCTTTAATGTCTGCTTGATAAAATGGCTTGTAATTTGGATGGATGTATTTTTCAGCGCATACACTAATTGTATATACTGATATATCTTGAATTTGGTACCTGCAAGTCAAATATGACTTAGAAGAATCTGTGAAATTATTTATTTAATTATTGAAAACCAGTGAAGATAATGTTGATTTTCACCCCTAGAAATCTGGGTGATGGCATGTACTTAATGGTTTTGGAATGTGAAAGGCTAATAGTATAAGGTTAAAGTAATATTTTAGTATATAGATGGAAAAAAAGAGAAAGACAATTGTTTCTCATCATCATAAGGAAAACTGATTCATACTAATGTTTCCAATTAAAAGTCAATTTTTATTTTGTACAATAGAATAAGTATTTTTATGTAAACACTTCATAAGCAAGGAAACATTATCATACTGATTAGGAAAAATGTTTTCCTAGGCAGAAGGTTGATTTGGTACTTGGATAGGCTAGGTTAGTGCCAATGAAAATCTTACAAGAAAACAAACAAGAAAGTAGAAATGCAGTATTTGCCAAACGGAAAAAAGCACTTTGCCAGAAAGTACCATGTATTTGGCACATATAACTCGGGGAAAAAAGTATGCAGGGGAGCAGACAAACCTTTATATTCAGATATTCAATGCTGCCTCCTTTGCCGCATGTATAGAGAAACTCATAAATGCCTGCTGGAATTTCAGTACATATAAAAAAGAAATACATGGACACTGCCCAGGTCAGTTCATCAGGCATGCTTTATATTTATTCTCATATTACACCAAGTATAATAGTTTAAGCATTTTGTTTTCTCCCTTCATCCTGACCAGTGTACACATGTATGATATAACTTTTAAGATATACACATTCATAAACTTCAGTGATGCCAATTAACTCATTAAATGTCTCATGTGTAGTCTTGATGTCACCTTCCATTGTGCATATATTTCTCTTTTAAATCATATCAGCAAAAACCTTTATACACTGTCCATATTTGAGGAGTCTATTTGATTTGTTTTGTTTGTATGGAAATACCTGTCCACAGCACAAACAGGATGGGTGAAAACATATATTTTTATGTAGTACTGCAAGAATCTTAATAACCCAAATAAAAAAACAAAAAGCTCAGAAAGTGTTTCACTGAATTCCCTCTGTAAGGATATTGTTCTACAAACCAAGTTTTAGTATATATGGGTGAACTGTTAAGAAAAAAATACACATGCTTCCACTATTTGCTGAACTGTAAATACTAGAGGAATGTCCTTGTGCTAAATGAAGGAATTCATGATCAATGAATATAAAACCATTTATAATTACTATGGGAGTTTACTGCAGTGTATTTATACATTCTTATAACATAACTAAATTTTCAACAATTGTCTGATTATTTAATTACCAGAGTAATAACAAAAAAGATTGAGGAGACATCTTTATGCATATGATATTACATTTACTGTGCCTGTATTTATATATTTTTAAGGTAAAATATGCACTTGAAATACTGGTGATAACTGATGAAAAGCAAGACTATTTATGACTGTCATTTGATAATTGTAGCATTCAGCCAGTTAGCATAAAAAAAAAATAATAAAAGAAAAACAAAAAAACAGGAAGATGGTGATTCTTCCTATTCTGTGCTTTCTTGAAAAAATCTTAGACATATAGGTCTAGTCCCTCCATGGAGTTTACTTTTTTACAGATTATACTTGATAAAACAAATCAGATAATGCACAAACTTATGATCTCTTCAGTTCTATCTTTATATGAATTAATTTGTTTCTCTTTGGTAATACCAAACACCTACTAACAAGACTAGCTACCAAGCTACATATCCCTCATTCCCTAATATATTTTAAAATTAAACTATTTTTTTACAGTTACTCTACATAAATTATGATAAGTACATTACAATTTTTTTTACATACCAAATAATCCTACAAAGCTTTAAATTAATGTCATAGGGTACACGGCATTCACAACCATTTTCTTCTCCCTCACATGGCAAGTACTTCCAAGTCGCTATATATGAATATATTTTCAAATGTGTCCAGGGTAATGTCATTCATAATTGATGAGGTTCTGAAAAGGTGCTACAGAACTTCGTCTTAGTAGCCGAACCTAATTACATCTCTATATACAAAGATTACAAAACTCAGAAAGCTACTGTTTAAACATTGTCATAAACAGAATGACAAGGAATAGGAAGGCAAAAAAATTCATCCAAGGGCAAAATAGAATTTTAAAAAAGTGTAAGGGAACAAATTTGCCCATTTAAAATAATCTATTTTAAGCACACCAAAAGACCACCAAGGTAGAAAATCTAACTTGAATGTTCTGAAAGTAAGCATGTTAGCTGAATGAAATAACATACTAAATAGATTGCTGCATATTACATTTGCATCCAAACTGCATATATGCCGTAAAGCTAAATCATGCTTTATAATTAGATTTTGATGAAAAATAAGAACGGAAAATACAGGTTACTCAGAATTATGTGTGTGTGTGTGTATGTATATGCATATGTTTAACTGTGTGTATGTGTATGTGTATGTGTATGTGTGTGTGTGTGTGTGTGTGTGTGTGTGTGTGGTGTGTGTGTGTGTGTGTGTGTGTGTGTGTATGTGTGTGTGTGTGTATGTGTGTATGTGTATGTGTATGTGTATGTGTATGTGTATGTGTATGTGTGTGTGTGTGTGTGTGTTGTGTGTGTGTGTGTGTGTGTGTGTGTGTGTGTGTGTGTGAGTAAGAGTGTGAGTAAGAGTGTGAGTGTGAGTGCGTGCGATGTGAGTGAGCGAGAGAGAATATCAAAGTACCTTAATCCCGTTAATTAAGATACTGTGAACGAACTTGCAAGATCAAAAGTCAAGAACCACCAGAGTCTGAAGGCAGTCACATATCCTTTTAAGTTATGGCCATTTCTAAATGACTGATCTTTCATTGTTGTACTCTACCCATGGTAAATTTATCTCAATAACAATATCTTATGGTGAAAAGTGTGTTACTGTTTCCAGGTGATAAAAGTACACACATAACGAGTATGTTCTAGTTCTGACTGCCTCCTTTACACACAACAGGTCGAAATTCTGGGGATTATCGTCGATATAACAGACTATCTGACCTCATGATGTGACCTTGTGTTAGCACGGTCTCCGATATGTTATCATTTGCGTTCTGGTTCTGACTTGGCCCCGAAATGTTCCCCCTTTCTTCTTGCCTCATGTCTTGCACCAACTCTATAACACTGTTATATCCCCCGTACTTCCTTTAAACTTACGTGTCGTGATCGTGCATACCAGTTGCTTAATAGCAGTAACTCCCCACAGGTGTGTTGCCATCCCTATAATATTTCAGCATGGGTTTTGTGTAGTTATTGTGCGTGTGGCAATCTTCAACGCATATGCCGTTTAGCAGAAGCTTCACGTAGTTCTGTGGAGCGATTCATATCAACTTCGGAACTTACAGGTGCTGCCTTATGAGTTGGATATTACTCTCGTATAACAAGAAGTTACATTCAGAAAAGGAACGAATGCCTCTACTTAAGTTCGCAAATTCACCTCTTTTGTTTCGCAAGGTATGAAATAAAGAATATTTGCAATGCACACAGATTACTCTATGTGCGCTCAGTACTGAATAATAAAATTGCACTCCACCGTAGCTATGAACTCTGCAGAATTCTTTAAATCCTTGTCTTGGTAAGCACTACATAGTCATAATACAGAGTCAGCTTGTCCACCGCGGGAATAATGTACGGAATGTATTTTTACCCGAGGATTCCAAAAAGACACCGCCTCCTCTACTGTATTCACGCGGTGTCCTTGTCACTATCGCCGCACCTTGAGACTCTGAACAAAGTATATGAATGCTCATTTGATCTTTACGATCTGGGAGAAGAGCTGTGGATGCTCGTATTGAGCATTTTGCCCCTGCCCTCAGCACTCACGGCAAAGTTGCTATACATATTGTAAATGTAAGAGTAAACGTACATCGAAAAAGAATGGGCCATGTTATAGTGTTGTGTAGACACCATCGCATATTTGGATCAATAAGCATGAGTGTGCAAATAGCCTCGAGAGGGCAGAAAGTAATGAACAAAGGATGAATATACAACAGACATAAAATCAAGATGTTAAATAGTGCTTACAAATCCGTAGAGTTTCCCACCCAGCCCGCACTTTTAATAATACAGAATCGACGTACGATCACTTGTGTCTAAAGTTTCAGTGTGTACGATACGTTTACAGTCAGTTGATAGCGTTACCATTCGCCACAAAAGATATCCACTAAAAAAAAAAAAAAAAAAAAAAAAAATGCTCACTTCACCTAACATGATTTCATGTCATGAACGGGTCAAAATAGTCATATAATTTTCTTGATGTTTAAAAAAGACGGGGATAAAATGACCTTTTACTCGCGTCATTTAATTGACGACTGGTGTAACCCTTAACAAATACCTTGACATTCGTCGTCACGTGAGCATCAGCAGACTGGCATAGAGACCTTGGCATATTTCCGAGACCAGCTGTGAATAATATTGTATTTACGTAAAGAATAACCATTGTAACTTCTGGAATAGTGTTTTAACCTCTTGACTTTGACTTTGTATCGGTAATTTTTGCCTTAATTTATGTCGAAGAGACCATCTTTTTATTAGGCTTAGGTAGGAACAATCAAATACCGGTAATCTTTAATCCCTTTATTATATATACAACTTATGATATCGATAACGGCCAATAACTTTCTGAACATATGATCTATACAGTGTATATATATAACATGTGCGTGTGTGTGTATATATATAATATTATATATATAAACATTTCTATACACACACACACACACACACCACACT